AAATGTCCAGGTATGACTCTAGAAGATCTATGGGTGGTGAGTATTGTGATAGAAATTAAGATGTGTGGACTTGGCTGGGCCTAGAATTTTTTTCTTAGGTTTTGTTCTCTCCACTAATGGGCTCATGCATGTTACTGCTCTTGGAGAATGTCCACAAACAAACAACAACAACAACAAAAAAGCAAATGTTACTGTTTGAAGATACATCTCTTTGTGTGTGTGTGTGTGTTTGGGGTGTGTGTGTGTGTGTGTGTGTGTGTATGAGTTTACTAACAGCTGAGAATAATGACCCGTCTCTCCTCCATAGTGTTTGTGTAGGGCCTCTCGTACCTGAGCTGCTGACTCTCTCAAAGCATGTAGTTCGCTCCCCAAACAGGGATACCCAGAAGGATATCAGAAGAGAGGGGTTCCCCAGCACGTCAATTTTCTGGAAAACATGTGCTAAGTCAATGCCCAAACTAGACTCGCTGGAGGAAGCTGGAGCTAATGCTATCTGTAGAGGCTCTCAGAACACGAAGTCTGCAAGGGGGTCTCCCCGGTATGGGAGGGGGCGCTGCCGTCCTCGGACGTCCTTTAATCCTAGAACGGCCAAAGGGCCCTGATTGCTGGACCTCGCGGGGACTGTTGCCGTGGATACTGCATTGCTGCTTTTCCACATCCAACTTCCCGACTTGGACAGAGTCTTGGCACAATCCCCTGGGCTCCCCTGGGCATGGCTTCAGGCCCTGGTTAGAGCCAGCAACACTGAGTCGACAGCAAGGGAGGCACAGTGTGAGGTCTTCTAAGGCGCTGGGAGATCCCAGTAGCCGTGATGTCCAGCCCATGGGCAGCTTGTGGGAACCCAAGGATGCTCCTGCGTTCTGTTCTCCTCCCTGTTCCCACAGGAGCTGTGAATCGACCTGTCATTCACTCAGCAAAAGACAGAATACCTGCCAAGGGCTTACTCACTCATCAGACAGGCCGTACCTGCCCCTAGGAGTTTTCACACCTGGAGGAGACTTTGACAGTGTGTACAAGAGGACACAAGCAAGGGGTTGGCTTGTGCAGAGTGGGGGTCACGGGGTCCTCTCCAAGGCAGCGACAGGGTGGAGTGGGGAGCAATCCATCCGGACAGAGGACCAACTCTATCTACAAAGACTGTGCCAGGGCAGGAGTCCCCTCACAAGATGCCTGGTTTCCCGTGTACCGTCATGCCTCGCTTTGGCTCTGTGCACCATTTGTGTGAGTAAGATGTGACTGAAGTCAGTTCTGAAAAGTTAAAATGAAAAGTAAAAGAAAGGGCAAAAGAATATATTTCAGTGTCATCCCGAAAACCTAGGGAGGGGGTTCTCCCAGTGTGATTCCTCTCGGCAGCATCTGGGTTAGAAATACAGGTTCCCAGGTTCCACTCAGACCTGTTATAGCCTGAGCTCTCTGGTGGGGTCCCTCAGTCCATCTGAATGTGTCTTCCGGGTGATTCTAACGTGCGTACCAATTGGAGAGCTGTTAATTTGAGGATGGAGCCAACAGCCAGGGTTCTGGACACCTGACTCCAACAGTGTGTAGGTCACCATCACGGGGCTCGTGGTGGTCTCTGCCGTCTACGTCATCAGTAGGGTGCCCAGGTCGGAACCCATGAAGCTGGAGGAAGAAGCCATGCTTGCTGATTCCAGATACAAGTTCCAGACTCTCTCTCCACTGAGTGGTGTCTTTCCCAAAGGTGCCATGCCATAAGACTTGCCCATCACACTTGTCAGACACTGCCTCCTGGGCATTCCTCATACCTTCCTCCTCCCTCGGTCGCCACCCCCAGAGTCTGTGTGAACATCAAGGGCTCTAGGTTATTCTTAGGGTCATTCTGTTTGGAGATCTCAGCCCCATGGGAAAACCTGGAGTGTGACTTCTAAACGGCCGCGCTACGTTTTAAGCCACCATATTTGTGACTTGGAGAAACAACTTGCACTTTTTTTCCTTCCTGGAATGAAAAGTGAATAAATGGTTTCAGGTTTCTTCTTTTCCATCTCTTGGCATATCACCATCTTTATCAGTTCAAAATATTTTCAAAATGTACAGCTGAAATCTTAGGGTTTTTTTCAGTTTGCATACACAAATGCAAGTTTTGAAATGTGGAGGCTTTTTTTTGGCCAATTTTTTTTCCCATGGGACTGTAAAAACTCTCAAGACAGTGCTTTTCACACTAGCTGTGCATAGGGATCTCCTGGGGGTATTGCAGATTCCAAACAGTTAATCCAGGGATGCAGGGAGGCTGAGATTTAAAATTGCCAGCTAGCTCCTGCTGAGCCCACACTGCTGGGTCAAGGACCACACTTTGAGTACTGAGGTTCTGAATCTACGCTGAGGTCAGGGGCCAAGTTGCTGTGTTCATGGGAGAGGTGAGTGATTAATATATGTCAAATGGGCTGGGCACAAAGGCTCACACCTATAATCCCAGCACTCTGGGACGCTGAAGTGGAAGGACTGCTTGAGCCCAGTTCAAGATCAATCTGGGCAACATAACAAGACCTTGTCTCTACCAAAAAAAGAAAATTAGCCAGCCATAGTGGTGTGCACCTATAGTCCCAGCTACTTGGGAGGCTGAGGCAGGAGGATCACCTGAACCCAGGTGGTCAAGGCTACAGTGAGCCATGGACTTGTGACTGCACTCCAACCTGGGTGACAGAATGCGACCCACACTCAAAAAGAGACAAAGTCTTTCAAATAAGTGAATCCATGACAAAAATGAATCACACCACATAGCAATTATTTTGGAGCTGTTTAGATAATAAAAAAAACAATGGTGAGACCTCTTGATTTCTAAATGAGGCATGACATCCTTAACAAGGATGGAATTCTTTCCCGGCTACTGCTTATGAAAGAAATTCAACTTAAGGGGCCAGGGGATGTTGTGGACAGCAAGGGGTGTGACCAGTGAGATCCTATGAACTGTCATCCCGCACGGCAAGCCACGGCCCCAAAGTTTTCAGCATACATGCTGCATGCGACCCATGTCTGGCACACAGACCGCAGGGAACACAGACCAGAACTGTGGTTCTGTGGAATGTTCAGGAAGATGTAACATGCTGTGGGAGACATCTGGCTCCATTGCGTGTGGCCCTCATAGTTCAGGAACCAGGCGTGATCTCCCTACACCGTTATTTTTTCTGGTTGCCACAGTCACATATTAAAACAGAATTATTAACGACTGCTGCTAAAATCAGGTTTGAAGCAAAAGAGATACACATACCTCCCAGATATGTCCCAGATACCTGCCAGGGGGCCCAGATATCCCTCATCCAAAGAGGAAAATTCCAGAAGGATGAACAACTCCCACAGCCTGGGAGTCTCAGGACCCACAGGGCTCCCACCTTGTCTCTCAAGAAGCAGATGAATCTGTTTAACGTGCTTCGCCACCATGTCTCTGTCCCCAGAAAGCTAAGTTACTCAGCAAAGCTGTGGTTGTAGCAGGTCCTGGGAAGAAGCCAGGAGAAGCTTGGTACCTGGTTGTTCACTGCAAGTGGATGTGGGTGCAGAAACCAGCCCGACCTGCAGCTTTGACCCGCTGGAAGGGCTTTCCACATGCTGTCTCGTAAGCCTGGATCTGCAATGACAATCATGTGTGCCCCAAATTTCTCACAGCCTTATCCTTCAATTTCAAAGCCACCATTGGGTTTACCCACCATGCACCAGAATTTCCCTGTGTTGACTGACCCTGTCTTCCTGCAGGTGCTTCCTTCATTGCTTACATTCTTCACATTTTTAAGCCCCTAGAATTGTCTGAGCACCGTTTACATAATTCAGTCTAGACTGAGGGTAACTTTCATTTTCAGATGGACCTCTCACTGTGGGGCCAGTTCCTCCATCTCCCTAGTGACTTATCCCTCATGTCTTCACCATAGCTCATCTCAGATGGGTCTCACTGTATTTTGTGGCGTGTGCATCTAGCCAGCTAATGAGCGTCCACTCCCTTCCTACATGCCAGGCTTGGAGAAACACTTGATATTCCCAGATATGTACCAGTGTCCTTGTGTTCATCAAACCACCAATGATTCATTCAACAACACTCTAGACCTCCAGGCACGTCTCCCTTTGTCCATATCCAGGATTAATCCAGAATCTGGCTAGCCACCCACAATTGTAGAGAGAGACCACCTTGAAGGATCCAGGTGTAAGAGGGATGCTTGCAAGGGAAAATGCAGGAGAAAATGAAGGGGTTGCCACAGCCAGCAGTTACAAGGGGTGACCCTGGTGACAGGAGTTAAGGAAGAACCCAGCACAGCTAAGTACTTTTGCCATAGGTCCTGGGTGGTGACATCAGTAACCGTGTGCTCTGAAATGCCTTAGATAGATGCCAAAATTGGAAGGCTTTTATTGTTTTTTGTGGGGGGAAGGATTACTCATTTTGTTTTTCAGCACTGCCTGCAATTTGAGGAGATAATATGCCAATCCACAAATATCAAATTTTTTTTATTCAGTATACTTCAAGAAAAATGTACTCTAACTCCAAAATGATCCCAGGGTCATTCCATTGAGGCTATAGGACCAGACTCCAGTGGTCCAAATCCCAGCCTGAGCAAGACTTATCACTTCCCAAGGCTATCTCCCATCAGAAGTTCATAGCAGCAACATTACTCCTTTGATTTAGACTGTACAGATGGTATAGAATGCCCATTGGCTTAGAATGTCCATTGACTTAAGATGCCCCGTTGGCTTAGAATGCCCATTGGTTTAGAATGCCTGTTGATTTAGAATGTCCATTGGCTTAGAATGCACTTTTGTTTAGGGGCTAGCTCAGGACACGCCTGATGCTGGCTCCTGGAAAGGTGAGCAGGGGGTGCATTCACTGGCCTGGTAGCCCAGAAGAGTGCCACCCGCTTTATGAGACCTTCCTCCCCACGAGAGATGCTCTTCTCTCCTTTGCTTGCCTACAGCAGTCATGCTCTTGAAAAGGCAACCATGCCAAGGCTGCCCATATGCCGGAGAGCCCGGCAGCATTCTGATGTGTGTGTGTGCGCCTCTTGCAGTGCTCGGCCAGCTGTGGAGGCGGCGTCCAGACCAGGTTGGTACAGTGCCTGGCCGGGGGCCGGCCAGCATCGGGCTGCCTCTCACACCAGAAGCCCACGGCCTCCCTGGCCTGCAACACTCACTTCTGCCCCGTCGCAGAGAAGAGAGGTGAGTGCAGGAGTCCTCGGCTCGACCTGGGCACGGGACGAGTGGCAAGCTCCAGAGCAGGCCATCAGAGGGCCTACAGCTTGAGTCTTGTGTCTGCTCTTCCGTCTTTTCACCTTCTCCTCAAGTTTTACAAGGAAACATCCCACAAAGTGATCACCGCTGCCTCTCACACTGCCCTGGAATGGCATAGACAGTGGTGACATAATCTAGCTCTGGGAAAGCATGCTTTCTTTCCTATCCACTTATCTAAAGGAGGTCATCTTAACAAAAGCAGCCTTTCCCCATGTGTTAAACAAAAATCTCCTCCTCCGTTGGGAGTTCTCTAAATGCCATCCCTGTGCGTGTACAAATTGCTCCTGCATGGCAGAGGCGGATGGCCACCTGTCGAGGTTTTTCTGCGAGATAACGTAGCTCAAGAAGGAGAGTGGTTTGGCTCGATGAGAGAATTAGACATTGACATTTAGTCAACAGAGACTCCACTGCCTTGGGTGGGAAAGTGGGTGGGTTTCAGCACAGGAAGGACATTTCACAGGGACCTCCCAAAAAGTCTCGTGGAAAGAACGAGTTTCATGACCCTTGTTAGACCCGAAGGGTTGCCCCTCGATCAGCAGCATCAGAGCCTGACACATCTGCTTCTCACTGGTCAACCGAGTCATTAGCTGGTGGGGTCAGTCGCCATGCTCGAGGGCGCTGACAGATGTGGGTTTGCTCGTTTGCAGAGGCCTTCTGCAAGGACTACTTCCACTGGTGCTACCTGGTGCCCCAGCACGGAATGTGCAGCCACAACTTCTACGGCAAGCAGTGCTGCAGGACTTGCTTCCAGTCCAACCTGTGAGCCAGGGCCACTTCCCACAGTGGACAACGGGCCTACGTGGCAGCGAAGCTCCCCACAAGGGAGCCGCGTGGTCCACGTGTGATGCGTCCAAGGAAGATGAAAGAAAACTGAGTTGGGCTTTTTGCCCCCGAGGATGTGTGCACATGTCCCCGTGCATGCAGGCTCTCCTGGAGAGCCCGGGCAGGCCAAACTGCAGCAGGTCAGACAGAGTTAGCTCTGTGGGACAGGGGAAGCAACCCTTCCCCAGCTTGTACTGCAGCTGAATCAAATCAACGAGACAAGCAGAGTCGAACCCGCTAAGTCCTAGATGTCGGGTGCTTTATAAAAAGAAAGTCCATGCAATAAGGAAGACATGCAAAATATCTGCCACCAGGTAAGCCTGCATCCCCTCTCTACTGAAAGCCTCCTCTGGTCACTGGGAGACTGACTTTCTGAGTGGAGGTCAGGTGGCGGGCACTCCGGGGCACTGCCCCAGGGTTCTCCTCCTTCCCAACTGTTGCAGAATGACTCTTCCCAGGGACTTGATGGTGCCACAAGAGCTGTTGTCACCTCAAGGGCCACCTGCCTGCCAAGGCACTGCATTCTGATTTGGGATTCTGCATATGGAAAAAGGACTTGGCATCCCTCCTAAGGTGCTCCCGTCTCCCTCAGACTCACGTGCTGGAGGAGAGACTTGGTCGTCTACGTTTTATCTTTCTCAGTTATTTGCAAGTCAGTGTCCCTTTTTATACCCACTTCCTAACGCTTTTCTGTTTCCAAGTAACAGATCAGAAATACAGGTTACGTCAAAACCCTGCTGTCCTAAAGAGAACTGTGGTCCTACTAAAACAGACATCTGCCCCATGATCATAACCTTAGGGCTCTGTGTTTTGTTTTCGCGTGTTGTGAGGTTTCTAACATTTTGTCCGTAAGTTTGGCCATTTCTGTAAGGCCAGCTCAGAAGGAAGGCCAGCCGGGTCGGAGTGGGAGGCTGCCCGGGGTCCCCAGCGTCCTCCCGTCATCCCAAAGCTGCGTCATCCTGTGGTGTGGCTCCATTTGGAATGGGTGCCTGGATATTTATATTTGCTGAAGTTTTATAATAAATTTTATATTGTACAGCGTGCTTCTCAATGGCTTCATGATCTCTTACAAGGTTTGTTTTTGAGATCAGGGCTGGCAAGAAGATACCAAGAAATGGGTTTCCTAGAGGGAGAGAAGGGCTCTAGAAAGAGGTGAAGAGAACTGGAAATGGTCCAGGAGGAGGTGTCGCTGGGTGAGGGAGAGGTTGTGGGTAGGACGACTGGGGACAGGTGACACTGGCTTTGTGCCATATCTAAGGAAAAGGAAGTGCCCCTCATGCTGTGATCCCCACTCGTATTAGTCGGGTTCTCTAGAGACCTGGAAACAATTGTCCATGTAGGGAGAAAAGGGGGTGCGGATTTATCGTAAGGATGGTGGAGGCTGGCAGTTCTGCAATCTGTAGGGCAAGCTGGCAGGCCGGGAACTCAGGAAGGAGTCAATGTTGCCATCTGCAGTGTGAATTCCACAGGGCGGCAGGCTGGATACGCAGGCAGGGTTTCTAGGTTGCTGTCTTGAGGAGAATCTCTTCAACTTTGGGAAATCCCAGTCTTTGCTCTTAAGGCCTTCGACTGATTGGATGAGGCCTGCCCATGTTATGCAGGGTGATCTGCTTTACTTAAAGTCCACTGATTTAAATTTTAATCATTTCTATTAAAAAAAATAGCCAGACTCGGTGGCTCAGCCTGTGATCCCAGCACTTTGGGAGGCCGAGGCAAGTGGATTGCCTGAGCCCGTGGGTTCAAGACCAGCCTGGGCAACTTGGCAAGACCTCGTCTCTACAATAAATCAAAAATTAGCTGAGCATGGTAGTGCACACCTGTAGTTCCGGCTACTTGGAAGGCTGAGGAAGAAGGATCACCGGAGCCCAACAGGTCAATGCTGGGATGACTGTGAGTGTGCCACTGCACTTCAGCCTGGGTGACGAAGTGAGACTCTGACTAAAAAAAAAAAAAAAAACTTCACATCTACATCCAGTCTGTTTGGCAAACCACTGGGCATCCCATAATCTAGCCACGTTGACACATAAAATGAGCCATCCTATATCCTTTGGATTGGATTTAACCAACCATGGGGAGCGACACTGCTCTGTGATTGAGGTGGACACCTGTCCCATGGGACGCCAGCTGCCCAAGCATGGCTCCTAGCGTGCCTGGCCCCACGCACGGTCAGGTTGTCTGGCCTCCTCATAACACCAGCTGATGTTGAAGCACAGCACAGCCCTGCCACGCTTCACCAGCACACGGGCCCCCTCATCTGAGGACATAACTCCTAACCCTATTTTACAGAGTGGAGAGTGACAGAATGCTTACAGAGCTTTTTCTTGGAGTTGTTAGCCAGAAAGAGGGGTTCTGCAGAATTCTACGGGATCCTGGAGGACTAGGACAGCTTATTCCAAAACCCAAAGCCCTCAGGCATGATGGTCTTAGTGATTCACCAAGGCACGGGGTCACCCTCCAAGCCTCTGTCCTTTGAATAGAGGATTCTCAGTAGGTCTTTATCATTTTCTGTCACCCTCCATGGGATGCCAGCTGGCCAGTTTCCGGGAAGGAGCAGCCATGGCCAGAGGTGGTCTTGCCTTCCAGGGCTCTGTGTTTCCACAGAGAAATAATGCCTGGCCGCAAATCTACATAGCACAAGATCAACCACACCCCAGAGGACAGGCAGAGGCAGGAGATTTGCTCCTGTCAGAAAGGGAAAGAGTCTGGTGCAGTGGCTCACCCCTGTTGTCCCAGCACTTTGAGAGGCAGAGGCAAGAGAATTGCCTGAAGCCTAGACTGGGTCATTTGGCAAGACCTTGTCTCTGCATTAAATCTGAAATTTATCCAGGCATGGTGGCATGCACCCGTAGTTCCAGCTACTTGAAAGGCTGGGGTAGAACGATCACCTGGCTGCTGTGGCTGTAAGTGTATCACTGCACTCCAGGCTAGGAGTGAGACTCCCACTCAAAAAAAAAAGGCATGTGCCTAGACCCTGTTCTACTCAACACCACCACCAACCACTCCCCACCCCCACCCGTCCGTGCTCTGGACATTTCTGACTGACTGACTGAGAATCTCCTTCCAGCATTCCTTCTTTGCTCCCCACACAGTCCCAGTAGTTTGGGGCTGGAAAAATAAAAGGTTCTAGAGGTGAAGCTGAGAGCTGCCAACAGATGGATTCAAAATCCACGAGTAGGGAGAGTCACTCACTGCATCACCTCTGGGTTGAAATACCTTGAGTTCTCAGCCTCAGAGGACCCATAGGGGCCTGTCCCTCCTTCCTGAGGCCTCAGTGGACCCGTGGTGCCCCCCTCCCTCACAGGCCACGATGCTCTGATGCTGCAACTCCTAGGAAGTTGCCCTGGAGTTTCTGAGCCTTCACATTTTCCCAGGAGCCTTTCGTGGGATTGTCTCTGCTTGTTTCTGGTTATCTTCTCATGCCCCAGCAGGACCCACAGAGCCTTTGTCCTTGCTCACTGGCCCCCCGGGAAGCCCACCAGATGCTGCTCATTGGAACCTGGAGGAGCATGTCCCTATGTGCCAGGAACCGCAATGTGTCTAGGCTAAACATAGCCCCCAGAAATTTCAGGCTGAGCCAAGGAGTCCAGACAAAACAAAACTGTAGAGGCTGAGGAGGGAGGGACCGGCACCACCCAGATAACCCAGCCCTCAGCAGTCACTGCCCTGTCTGCCTGTCTATCTCGCACCTACTTCCCAGAGGACAGCTGAAAACATCCCCAGCTCCCAGCTCAGCCACCCAGCAAAGAAAGTCAGCAGGAGACTGTGGAAGGGGAAGGAAATCTCTAGAACACCCCAGGACACTGTCTGTGCGTATTCTGTGAGGAGACTCCCTCTCGCCCCTTCCCGAGTCCACCGAGAGGTTCTCTGTCATTCTGGACCTTGCTTGTGAACGCAGCCGGGTGTCAGCACAGGTGTGTCTTAAGTACTAGACACTCACATTTCTGCATCTCACAGAATGGAGATGAAAGCCTCAGTCTGTCTGCCAGCTGGGTCTATCCCAGGAGCCAGAGAGGCCGCTTATCCTGTCCTGCTCTCCCCTGATCCCTTCTGAGCTCCCTCCTTTGCACTTTCTGGTGTGCTTCTCACAACTTCACGAACGTCACACACTGTGCTTGACTGCCCCCCAATCAGTGATCCCCAACTTTTTTGACTTCAGGGACAAGTTTCACGGAAGATTTTTCCATGGACCAGGGGCAGGTAGTGGGGGGGAGTTGGGATGATTCAAGCACATTGCATTTATTGTGCACTTTATTTCTATTATTATTACTTCATATTATTAATGAACTAGATAATGAAATATATGTACTAATATATCCATATATAATAAATATATAATGAAATATGGAAATATATAATGTAAATATATAATTGTATGTAATAAATAATTATACATAATTGTACAATATACATAATTATGTATATGATATTACTAATATTCATAATTATACAATCATTGTGCCACCAGATGCAGCTGTACAAGTGAAGCACATCAACTCACTTGCCACTCACGGATCGGGTTTTGACATGAGTCTGCAGACAATTGCTTTATGATGGTTTCTGTGCAGTCCAACCTCACTGCTGATGTTAATCTGTATTTGCGGCCACTACCTAGTGCTAGCATCCCTGCCTCAGTTCCACCTCAGCTCATCAAGCATTCTATTCTCATAAGGGGTACGCAGCTAGATCCCTTGAATGCACAGTTCACTGTAGGGTTTGTCCTTCTATGAGAATCTAATGCTGCCTCTGATCTGACGGAAGATGGAGCTCAGGCAGTCATGTGAGCGATGGAGAGTGACTGTAAATACAGATGAAGCTTCGCTCACTCACTGGCTGCTTATCCCCTGCTGTGAGGCCTGGTTCTTGACAGGCCACAGATCAGTATCAGTCCACGGCCTGGGAGCTGGGGACCACTGTTACAAGGATAGCCTCTTGCCCCCTCCCCTCATCTGTAAAAATGGTGTGCCATGGTCCCTGTGTCTGCTTTCTCATTTCCTCCATGAGGACAGGGTCATCTGAGATGTTCCTGCAGACCCCAAGCCTCCTGGGACTTGTCACATAGTGCTTGGGCCCCCATTGAGAACCGGGCCGGGGTCCCTATGCAAGGATGTAAAGGAGCACAGACCCACTGTCTGGAAGGCCCTGCATATCGAGAGCTTCTCACTCACTCTTTCCATTAGAGAGACAGAGCCCTTTCTCTCATGATGAAGTGAGTCTTGGGTTGAGTCTGGAAGGGCCTTAGGCAAGGCCACCAGGCTTTGCTCTGCAGGACATCCTGTGACTGAGTCCAGACCCATTCTGCTCACCCGCACCACAGCCAACAACTCAAGAAACAAGGAGTCAGAGCAAGGGGACGATTTTATTCTGGAAAGCCAGCAAGCCAAGAAGATGGCAGACTGGTGTCCTGAATGCCCGTCTTAGTGTTCTGTTGTGTCTGCGTTGTTGGGTCCTTATCTAAGCGTTGGGGAAAGGGAGGGGGCCAAGAACCTCAGACATCTGGGTGCCAGCAGGGATCTAGAAAAAGTTGTGAGATCTTTTTGTCCTTTACTAAAGGTTTCCTTGTTCCTTAAACTCTTTAACAAAGCATAGCTAACGTATGTACTTCCCTCTTTTAGTCTAAAATGGAACTAGTCATGTTAGTGATTTGCCATTTCACTGCTACAGTAGTAAGGAGCTACCTCATCATTCCCTCACACTGGTACGGTTATGGTTATGAGAAAGGTCTGAACACCCAGCCCTCTGCAGCAAAGGTGTCCCCAAGTTCCGCACCAGGGCAGCTCCGCCCCACCACTGTGAAGGGTGCGCACCATGTCGGCCGTCTAGACCAGCCATGCTAGCCTGGGGTGCAGACCTTCTCAGAGCCTTGGAGGCTGAAGATGTCATGGTCATAGGTCAGTATTGTTTGGATAATGTGTAGAGTCGAGAGAAGAGAGCACATCAGACATAGTCACCAATCTCTCTCTGTCTCAGTGTCCATCTTGGTGTCTCACTGCAGTTTAGGTCATCAGAAGTAGCCTAGAGAGGGGAGACAGGCCACATTC